GACATACAATAAGGAAAAAGGGAAGGCTGATGTACAATGAAAGTTCTGTGTAATACATGTGATAGCTTGACAATTTCATTAAAAAGAAAAAGATGCAGACTGGTATTTTTGAAGCTGTTTTACTGAAGACATAAAAGGAACAGAAATTGGTTGTACCAGCAGAAGTTCCTAGGTGGTATGAAAGAAAAAGAAAGAACTCTGCTGCGTTAAATTCTGCATGTACTTTACCTCTACCATCCGCTAAATGCGAATGACAGCGGGATCACACCTACCGTATTCCAAATACTCTGTCTATCAGAAAGCCTCCAAAGAAGCAAAGAACCACATTGGGCCAGGAATACCAGGCATAGAGCGCCATGAACTGCGCTGTGTTCACCTTCATATCCTACAGGAACAGGAGGAAAATTTGAAAGTAAGTAAGCAAATAACTTGCACCTAAGGTAACTACAAAGTCACAGAATACGCATATATGTAAGAGTACTTAGAAATAAGCACGCTTTCTGATCAGAAAGTGCGAGGGGATGTTTGGTGATGATTTCTGCTGGAAATGGCTATTTTAGAATGAAGTGATGCACGCTGTTTTAACGCATAGTAATTAAGACATTCTCGGGGGCACCTAAAAGAAAATCACCCACCTCTTTTCAACCAGAACGCGGCAAACAAACGCCGCCAGCACCTCTGAGGGGCTCAGCGCTGCTATTTTAACCCCGCAACCCCACGCACCAGGCCGGGCACCCCCCCAGCAGCGCCCCACGGAGCACCACCCGGGGCCCGCACAGCCCCCAAGGGACTCACCGCCTGGACCTGCGTCTGCAGGGCGGCCGGGTTGTCGTAGCAGAAGTAGCTGCCTGCGGGGAGAAGGGGAGGGAGGCCTCAGGAGGAGAGGGAGGCCTCAGGGGAAAGGGGACGCCTCAGGAGGGGAGGCCCCGACCCGCACCGGCCCTGCCCGGGGGCTGCCCCCCCACCCGCCCAGCCCCGCACCGAAGCCCAGGAAGCACATGAGCGCCAGGACGAGCAGGCGGTGCGCCAGGCGCTGCGGGTGGCAGGGGGACAGGCGGCGGGCGGGCCCCGCGGCGCCGCCACCGCCATCGGAGCCCAGCAGCGCCCGCTCCTCCTCCGCCATCGCGCCGCCGTCATGTGACCGCGCCCTCACATGATCAGCCCCCACAAGGCACCGCGCGGCGGTTGCCGTGGTAACGGAGCGCGGGCTCCTCCGCGGTTGCCATGGCAACGGGCAGGGCCCGCGCGGCCTCTGGTGGCTGAGGGCCGCGGGCTGCGCCTCAGGCGGGAATGGGGACGGGGATGGGGATGGCGACCCTAAGACCATCAAGTCCAAATGTTAACCAAGCAGCCGTGGCTACCACTAAACCGTGCCCCTAAGCACCACGTCTACAGCTCTCTTAAACACCCCCAGGGGTGGTGACCCACTGCGCCCTGGGCAGCCACTTACAACCCTTCACAAAGCTTTCAGTAAAGAATGTTTTCCTAATATCCAACCCAAGCCTCCCCTGGCACAACTTGAGGCCATTTCCTCTTGTCCTTTTGCGTGTTGCTTGGGCTAAGAGATCGTTAAATTCATTAAATTCACATCTTCTCTGAGACCCTCTTTATTTTTCCACCTTTTCTGGCATGTTTCTTCACAGCGTGTTACCTCCCTGCTGGGTGTTCTGTCCTGGGTCACTCACGCCACTGGACAGGGCCATGTGAGCCTGTATCATAAAGGTTCATGTGAGAACATCAGAAAAGTCACCTGCGAAAAACACAGCAGGATGTCCACTGTATAAAAGTCCCTGATATCTCAGCAATGATAAAACTGTGTCTTAGGCACACTCTTGGAAGGACGTCATTATTTTATTTATTTATTTTTTTACATATATGTAGTCTACCTGCTATTTAAAAGGGTTTTAATGGCAGGCACATTAAATGTGAGCACATCAACAGCACGCACATTTGTTGCATTTTGTCTGACCTGCAGTGAGCTAAGGCCCACTTTCCATCTGCTCTGTCATTAATTTGAGCAGTAACCATTCAGGAAAACCTAAATAAGTTTTCAAAACACATTGGTATAGCGTGCTTGTAGTGGCTCTACCGCAGACTACTATTGGGAATAAATTGTTTACATTTCACTCAGTATGTGCCTTCCAAAAGCTACACATCTGCCAAAAGACAACTATGTTATCGAATGCCTGTCTTCCTAGAAAAGAGAAATTACTGGGTCACATTTTCAGCCACCCTAAACTAGTCTGCATTACTCGAAATTAGTGCAGTTCTTTGAGTTTTCTCTTAAAAACCTGGTCTTAAACTGCACGGCCTCGTTGCAAAAGCATCGTCCAACAAACCCAATTTCAGGGCCGCTGGAGGGAGCTGGAGGGCAACGTGCGGCCATACAGGGGGCATAGTTAGCTGTAGGTAGGTCCTATACAAGCATAAAAGGGATAAAAAGTTATATCTAGTGAAAGTCTGTGTATGGAAGAAAAAAAATATATTATTTCCTATCTAACTATCCCCATTATTCCAGGAGTCCGGTGTCATGTCACCCAGTACTTTTCTTGCTCTCTCTGATCCACAGAAAATATTTTTTTGGTCATTCTCACACTCTATTTTCCCTCCAGAACACAAACATGGCTGTTGCAAAAGTCTGAAATTCCCAAACTGCCCTCCCACCACGATTCTCAGAAAGAAAATGCCGAGAAACCTCAGGAGACAGCTGGACCCATTGCCAGAGACAGCAAGGGAGCCCCAGCCATGCTGATCGTGAAGTACAGAGCCAGAATCAACAGAACCAACTTCTTTATGGTTCATGTCTGCTTCCCCGAGAACTTCTGCCCCATTTAGAGCTTAATCTGAACCACAGGAATTTCTGAGGCATTATAGTGTTGGTCAAGGAAGAAAACCCTCAGAAATATTAAACAAACTGCAGTCTGTTCCACAAAATGATGGTTGCCAGTTCAAAGCCGATGTATCCTACAAAGTTAAACTTAAAATAAATAAATAAATAAATAAATAAATAAAGAGCCAGAATATTATCATCAAAAATATATTGCCCCTGTAACTATTTTTAAATGTTGGTTCAGAAGGCACAAGTAAATAGAAGTGGTGATTAAAGATGAAAGAGGCAACCAACACACACACAAAAGTGCCATTTTAATGTTTTATCATTGTTGTTTGATTTTGTTGTTTAAGCTATAATACTCTTAATTTCAAATCAACCCAGTGTATAATCCGTAGTTGAAGGTCTCCCTGCCTGCATCGGGGGTTGGAGTTCAGTGATCTCTAAGATCCCTTCCAACCCAAGCCATTCTGTGATTCTATAACTCACGGGCAGTGACATGATACCAGCATTCTGACTAAAGGATCCAACAGAAACTCTCCTGTAACTATTGATCAATTTTATCACCAAGGATATCCAGAGGAAGATCTAGAAAAACAGGCTGTATCTCCTAAGTCTCAAAAAGGCTCTCCAGCCCCATAACCAAAGAAACAGGCAAAAACACAAAGCAAGTAAACATATTAAAGTGCAATTTGTGATTTAGGATGGTGATATTATGGCCTGGATTCAGCTGTGTACGTCAATGTGAAGAACAGAAATGAAAAGCTTTCAGAGGCTCTGCAGATATCCTCACCACAGCTCTTGTTTATTTGACTTTGATTAATTAATCAACAAGCACACAAAAATCCTGCAATCTTTAAAGCTGAGTGTGGATCAGGATTTCTTCCTGGGTTCTTTGTTGCAGTGTTTTGTATGCTACAGACCAAAAAATACGCTCTGCAAAAGTGTTTTTAAGAGCTTCTGACAGCCGTGGCAATTGCCTCTGCCAAGTATGATGACAAAGTATTCCTGGAAAAATGAGTACTCAACGAAGAACATCATTGTGACTTTCTGCTAACTGAGCGGTAGGATTTTACTGGTTTCCTATGTTCTTGTCCCATTTTAGTTTATGCAGCTCTCCGTAATATTACAGTCTGTTTTCCTTATCGTAAGAAATTCAGTATGCCACTGCTGATCCAATACGTAACAGAAACACGAAAAGACAGCAACAAAACCCTCCTTTTCCTGTTAAAACAGTGAGACAGAAGGCTATTTCAGAACGTATCACGTCAAAGGTCAAATCTTTCTCTAATTTTATTATTTATACAAAGGCATCCTGGATTTGTCTTGAAAACTTCATGATTTCATAACGTGGCTTGCTTCTTCTTGTCCTCTGTTCTGCCTGCTTTTGGACACAAGGGATCTATCTGAATTGCATTATTCTGTGGTTTCCTATGAAAAAGGTGCAGGAGAGTTAAAGCCAATGAAGCCTTTGTCATTCATCCCTTACAATATCAATTGCAGTACTGCCACTCTCCCATGCTATTACTAGCATACAAAAATATGCAAAGATGGAAGGTTTAAGATAAGATACTTTAAAAGCTACCTAAATCATTTGAAAGTATTACTTAATTTGTTATTCTTAAACAGGATCCACCGAGTATAATTGATTTAATACCAAAATAGTAAATTTAATGGTGGGAAGATTCTTCCCGTGGAACACGGCCATGGCAGGCTCTAGTACAACAATGGGTTTCTGTGCTTTCATTCATCCTCGAGGGAATTTTTGCAAACCTGAAACACATTTAATTTTATGGTATTTATTTTCAAAGATGTCAGTGGGTTTCTCAGGTTATTTTCATGTCTGTGTGCTTAAATGTTTTCGTATTAAACAAGACTGGATTTGTACTTTGTCTTGTTAGGTATAACATAGAGCCCTTTACAGTAGAGTAAGAAATTACATTAATGTATCTGGGATATTTAATAGGAGAAAAAGGGTGTTTTTCCATTAGCTATTACAAAACGTTTGCCATGCCACCCCTTTCTTCCCATTCACTTCAGTCTTCACCTTGGATGTGACCTTGCTGGAGCGCGGTGTGGCTGCAATGTGCAGTGTGAGTTAAGCCCAAGATGATTCTTAAAGGCATTGCTGGTGAGACTTTATGCCACAAATAAATACAGTAGATTACTCTTAACCTCATACTTTAGAATGTTTATTACAGATGCAATTTCTGTCTAACCATAAATCAAAGTACTTAAAGTGCCATATGATACCAAATGTTTAGTTTAACAGCATAAAATTGAGCAAAAACTGTGTACAGTACTTTATAGATGCTATAAAATCCCTATGTGCTTGTGGCCTCACCTTTTTGCATTGCCCAGATCAATCAAGTTCACTGAACACCCTGGATAGTAAATACCCACGTGAAGCAACGATTAGCTTTCACAGTTTAGTTCTCCTAAGTTATTACTGTCCTCAGCAAAAATGCTTCAGAATACGACAACATTGCAAAGACGTAGGAAGTGTATTTAACATGATAAAATTTACCTCACCATCGTTAGCCTATTAACCGTTCTTTGAAACAAAAATCTTGTGCTTTGCCTCCATTTTGCATTAGCAACCTATTATGAAAGATCTGTCATACACAGGCATACAAACATTTTTTAATCACCTCATGTGGTAAGGAATGTGTTATTATAAAGCTCGCTGCGTCCTGTGCTCTTCCTGTCTCACTCAAGTGCTATTGGACTTACATACAAACTCCTTAAGACGTGTCTAATTTCTGTAAACTATTTTACATCAGAGAAAGCTGAAAAAAAGGCTGAGGAAGCATTTTTGCACCATCAATCTATGTGAGACCAAAGATCTTGGCCTAGGAAACCTCCTGAAGTTCAGAAAGCAACACTGCCAAAGCAAACACCTCCTCCCCTCTCAGCCGAAGAGGCTCAGCTGAGTCAGACAACAGACCACAGAACTGAATGTCGTCGGTTTATTGCTCTTTTTTCTAAGCTCATCAAGAAAAACTGCTCTTCAGATTTCCCAAAATTATTTAAAGCCCCTCGATATTCCCCAAGGGAAGCGGCTATCAGGCCATACCTCCAAGAGCAAAACCTGCTCAGGTAATGCATAAGCAAAATGCCTGCAGTGAGAGCGTAAGAGCAGTCATCCACAAGGTGCAGCTTCTTCAGCACTTGCAGTAGGCTTTCTTTTAGTATTACTCTCTGGATACTTTAACCAAGGTGGATTACAAGAAACAAAGCCAAAAAAAGAACAAGAAACAGTGCATCAGAGGCTGCTTAGCACACCCATATGCACCTAGAGCCAAATAGTGTCCAGAGCTGGGGAGGGAAATATGAATTTTGGTTTGGGGGACTATGCTTGAATTACTAGATAACACTTCTACTTTGCTCAACATATATTAACAGTGGTAACCCTTAAAAATCTTCTGGTTAGTTGGTTGAAATGCTGAACGAGCAGAGATGCCTGTGAAGCGCTCTAACACAAACACCGAGCCACAGCATTTATCGGATGCTCTGTCAGTGAAACGAGGCATTCACATAACATTTTAACTTTTTTTTTTTGAGAAGCGTACTCTTTCTCCTAACAGGATGGACACTAAATCTTTTATAACTAAGCCCAGCGGCTTAGGAAGGAAGCTCTGGTGTTGACTGAAGCACTCAAAGGTTAGTGCAACACACCGCCACCGCTCTGCCCAGCCGCCCGGGGCTGGAGGAAGTCCGCGCCCCTGCCAGGGACAGCGGTCACTGCTGCTGGCCACAGAGCAGCAGAAAGCAGCATACAGGCTCTCTGTCACCAGGGCTTGACCACTCGTTTTTTGGAAACACAAGCATTTAGGGTAACAGAAGTGGTAGGAGGAAGGAGCTGGTTCCCGCTGACTCCGTTGCAGGCCTTCCCGTCTGCCCTTTGTAGCCCTGTAGATGTGCAATGTGCAGAGCTCACCCCACAGACAGCATTCTTCAGTGGATGTGTATCAGTACCACCACCCAGTAACTTGGGTACCAGGCTACGACACAGGCAAAGTACCCAGCAAGAACCTCCTCGTTCTAACTGCAGCATAAATCCTCGTAGTTTCCAAACCAAGGCCTTCAGTTATCAGCCTCCCTTAGTTACTTGTACTCCAAATACAGATCTCCTTTCAGCCCCCCGCCTTGTCCCCCATCCCCTGACCCCCACCGATGCTGAGTATTTTATGCACATCAAGCTGTTCCTCATCAGGCATTTCCTCTGCCCTCCAGTGACTGAACTTTTCTGGAGAGTTTCCAAGCCAAGGGCAAGGTGTTTTTTTCCTCCTCTCTCCAGACAGCAGCCCAGCCCCGAGCAGAGCTTCCCAAGCAAACAGCTTTACCCCGTGGCTCCATCATCTTCTGAACTTTGGGATTCGTTCCTCGTTGGTACATCTGACCCTGCGGCTTGCTTCCTTGCACATTGCTCTGAACCGAATCCTCTCGCCTTTATGCAATTTGCTCCTCACCATCTCCACTAGGCCCCAGGCCCAAGGAGCTGCTTTCCATGTTGGAGCTGTAAGGCTGTTTGTTTGGAACATCTCTTTCCCTGTGCAACCTCCCACTTGGGATCTATTTATCTAGGTACAGCCTGCTTCACAGCAAGGGCTCTTTCCTGACAACACCCTGATAAGCAGTGCCCAGCTTTATGCACGAGCTTATCCAGCTGTTGTTATCCCAGGAGACTCCCTGCTAGCAATTTTTAGTTTCCTGACTGGTGGACGCTTCCCTTTGCTCCAGTGCCCCAGCACTTAGAGGAGTTCTTCTTCCAGCTGCAACGCTTCTAGCAGGCAGCATAGTGTACATAGATACTTTATCCACTCCAGGTGTTCTCAAAATTCGGTGATCCTGCACAATTGTTTGCAGAGATCAACAAAACCAAGTGTGGTATAACTTCACCTAGCAGTTTATAAAAAAAAAAAAAAAAAAATCTATACGTGTATTTGACAAGCATATATTAATTATTCTTACTGGATTGAGACTTTTCAAAATAAAAACAAGAAATGCAGAATCAGTACCATGCCAATAATTCTGAGTCCTGTCCCCTTTATCCCCGAGGGCATGAGGCTTTGCTCTCTTTTGTCACCCCAGGAAAGTGATACCATGAGAAAAAACACAAAAAGCACTCAGGACAGTTAGACAAATAAAAAGAAAAAGCATAATTCCTTCCTCGTTGGCAAAGAACTGGAAGCCAGCAGTTTATCTACCTGGAGAGGGAAGGAGAAAATTTCACAAACAGATAATCAAAAATAAAATGAGGGCATGATATTCTGCCTAAGCATTTGTTAAAGTGAGGGGCTGGAGAAGGAGATGAAATACACAGCTTTCTTTTTTACTTTCCTTCAAAGAGTGAATGAAGAATTATTCTGCACAGCAAGAAAATCACATGCAATATCATTCAGAAAATATATTGTTTCCTTTAAAAGCATCTTGCTCAACACTTGATTTCACATTTTCATTCCTTAGAGATTACCGTTCTTTGCATTTTTATATCTCTGAGTTCACCACCTTGTGGTTTCGAAGTACAAACAACTTCATAAATATTACTCAGAGCATTAGGGAAAAAAAAAATCGGGCAGATTCACGTCCTTCCACATAAATGACAAGTGAATAAATACAAGTTGCATGGGTGACTAACTGAAATATAACATCAACCCCTTTTCCTGGCACTATGGAAATACCAGCAGTGCCGCACGCAGAGGTGAGCTCAACACTGAGCAAACGTAGGGTAAAGTTAACATGGTCCCAAAGCCTCAATGGCCAAAGGCCAAAGTTTCAATGAAGAGACATTCTAGCTTTAATTTTTTTTTTATTTTTACCTTAAGATATCCATATATATAGTTATATATATACATATACCCATGATGGGTAATATGTATATATCACAAATACTTCTGCCTGCAGTTCTTCCATGCTGTTGATCTACACTGGAGATGTGTGTGTGTGTCTTTGTGCCTGGAGAAAGCTGATGCCCCAGCCCAGACCCAGAGTGGGAACCCAAGCACCAGAGTGGGTGCTTCCGTTTGAAGGGGAAAAGGAGCAAAGGGTTTTTTGGAAATGATGGTGTGTGAGCATAAGTGTGGGGGGGAAGCAAAAGTTCTGAGAGGGTTCTCACCAGAAACTATGCTTTGCTTGTATCATCTTGCACTTATGACTTGTTTTATTTATGTTTAGACATCTGTTTAGGTGAACCCTAAATTATGGCATCCTCTTAGCACCGTGCAGAAGGGCAACACAACGCAAAACGAATCACGGTGACGTGGGAGGGCTGTGACCTTACCTCTCCCCCCATTGTCAGGAACAGAATTCCCAGCAATGTCAGTGCCTAAATTACCATAACTGGGCATATACATGTAAGCCATGACTGCACTGGGGTGAGGGAGGCAAATCACACTATGCTGAGCTGCTTTGGGACATTTCTTTGGCCTTCACACATGCAGATCTATATCTATCAGATCTATAATGAGTCATTTGCTTTATTTTAACAGAACCAAAGTCTCTGAAGGGGAAGCTCATCTAGAGGAAGAGCTCCCACCACACAGACACCTGTACTAGAAACTCTGCTTTGTCTCTTGAACATTCCCACCCCAGGGCTTGTGCTGGCTTCTCTGACCCCAGGCTGCCAAAAGTCCTTCCTGCTCAGGTGCCCCAACAACTGCAGGCTCCCCAGAACCAGCTGCAGCTCCTTTCCTGCCCCGCCTGGTCAAACCACACCTGGCACAGAGGCTGGGCAAAACCCAGCTCACTCTTAGGGATTCCCCTGCACATCCACTGCTTCTTTTAGTTCCTCTTCCCCACCTGTTTCTGTGCCTCTGACTGCTTGCATTTCCCACAGATCTTCTCCAAGAGCCTCAGGGTTTGATAGCGCTGCCTTGCTAATTTGTCCAACCCGAACATCTCCAAAGCACTGCAAGTATAAAATAGGTTTACAGGCTCATAAATACTCTTGTACACCCCCAGGAAATAAAGTTCTCAAGTTCCTCACAGAAGGGAAACTTCTTGGATAAATTCTGTTGCAGCAACACACGGGAGGGTTTTTTAGTATTGAGCTCCACTGCAAAAGGTTGGCAGTGATAACAGGACATCCCGCAGCACTGGGTGAGAGCTTGTCTTACAAATAGCAGTTATGAACCAAATCCTGCAAACGCAACGCTAAGAGATGCAACCTTTTATTATGATCTCAGTCAAAAGCCCAGGGTCTGCACTGTAACCATCAGATGAAGTCATAATGTAGAAGAAATTGAAGAGGAAAAAAATACGAATTTTTCTTCTTTTCCCTTATCTGGAAAGCAAAGGCTTTTTTTTTTTTTTCTTTTCTGGAAACTTGAGCACTGAGTTCATGTGCCATATCTACAATGTGATCAACAACCACAACATATTCAAATAAAATACAACAACACGGTGAAGTGATGTGACACTTATTTCAAGTATCTATTATCTAACAACAAATGCCAAGCATGCTGCTTTATAAAATTATAGGGAAGTAACATGGAAAGAGAAAACTGAACTCAGGAAAGGGAACAGATAAAAATCTTGCTTTCAAGAATGATGCCAAGTCATAACATCCCATCCTGGCCCCTCTACAAGACCTGGCGAGTTTGCTTCCCTTGGCAAACTGTGCAAAATCACACTTCGTCCAGCTTATAGTTACACTCTTAACAATAAGAGCCTTGGGACAGACTTCATCTCTGAGAGCTCCAGTCAACTGCCCTGACAACCAATTTACACACAACCCGCTGGTGAATGAGCTGACTCCTAATTTATTTGGGGCATGTGTCCCTTGGAGTCTTTCCAGGCACCGGTAACCACTGTGTTATTTTGGATGGCTTTCCCGCACTGCATGGGAGTGTTTACATCGCTACGAGAAGAAAAGAAACAATCAGTGGTTTTATAACTTCTTAAAACCTGATTTTTCTAGGGAATAAGATGGCCAGTAGATTCATCAGAGGTGAGAGGGGTCAAACAAATGCTCTCACATCCCAGCCATGCTCTGGTACGTGCTGTGGAGGGCTGGGACAGCAAGCCCAAGGCGTTCATGCTTCCTTCTCCCCCTCTTGCAGCCAAGCTGCCAACAGACACAAGGCTAATCTCACAAAGCAGCCAGGATCTTTTTTTAAAGAAAGAAAAGGACATTTTGCCATGACATTTTTTGTGCCATGAAGTTTCATAGAAAGTGGCGCTGTCCTCATTGACTCCTCAGCCAGGAGCAGCCTGTACTGCCCAGGGTCACATTTTCTCCAGTAATTTAGTGCTGGATCCTGACAAGCACCTCTGTGGGACTGAGGGCGTAGACCTGCACGTCTGGGTAAGATTTAGCTAAAACGGTGAACAAATACACAGATATTTGTGAACAAATATCTACTGAACAACAACAAAAAATAATGCGTGAGTATTCACATAGAGCAAAAGTCTAGCTTTGATAGTAAGGTGTCCAAAATCTGCACCATGTAGGAGACAAACTTTTCCAGAGTTCACAGGCATCAAAGTCACACTGCAAACTACTCAGAATTTCTCATTTTTTGCCTGGAATCTGTATTTTCAAGTTTTCTTTTCCCTTTAAAGGCTGCCTGTTCCTGTGCCTTACACTACTCTCCTTGGTGAGCACTGATCAGATTGTTCTCGGTGTGTTAGCACGCTTGAGCAGCCCCGTCATGGTTATTAAAAATATTACATATGCCAAAATATTTTGACTGAGAACGTGAAAAACATTTACAGCATCCACAGATCCCTGTCTGCTGCAAGCCTTGTGAAGAACAGGCTCAAAATAAAACGACATTGGTGGTTATTACCACTGCCAGCCTGCTAATTAGCTAATTACCAAAGCAACCACCATGACGAGGAATGCACGGATCAGCCCAGGCAGAGCCGTGGCATCAAAATGCCCAGGGTGAGCAGTGGGACAGAGGAGAGATGCAGGGGCAGCAGCGATGCATGGAACTGTTCCTGCCTACAGCCTGGGTGCAGTGAAGGGAGCCTTGGTTACTTGCCCCTACAAGATACTTTGTGCCACAGAAACGGAAAGCAGAGCTGGGAGTCCCAAACTCATGACAACGATAACCCCTGCGAGCCTGCAGAGGAGGCTCTGAGCATACAGCAGAGCAGAAACACGCTTTATTTAACACTCTTCCAGGTGTAGGCTTCCACACTTTGCTTTTTCATGACTGCAAACAACAGCAGAACAGAACACCTCGATATAAGCTTGCTCCAAAGTGTGACTCCTTGTACAGATTTGCCAAAAAGGACCATCCTGTCTCCATCCCTAACCATCCCGGCATCATTTCAGCTTCTGCTCCCCCTTCTTCTAGCCCTGGCTCCCAACTTACTGCAATTTCTGCCTCACAAGCAAGGCCAAAGTTTCTTATAAAACCCAAAAGAGCAGAGCTCCTCTCAGCACGTTTCCGGCCATTATTCCCCTGAAATATTTCCCACCGGCCGCCTCACGCCCAGTGTCACTCTGCTACAAAGCCGAAGCGCCGGACTTCTTGGGCAGATTACGTCACAAGCGTTACGCCCGGGAGATAAGGTCCCGATAGCCAGCTCCGGCCATGGAAGGCATCCAGCAGCGGCGTGCAGCCCAGCAACCTGCCCCAAACACCGAGTGAGTGCTTCCAGGATGTGGGAGAGCAGCCCTGCGATCAAAACCAGCCTCCCAGAGGTCCTGGGGAGAACTGATGGCTGACTCACCGCTCACAGCACGTGCCTTCAAGGAAGCCAACAATAAAATAAACGGGGTGACAAATGGACTCAAAATTGGCTCCCCGGGGCCGGGGGCACCCTGAGCTGCAGCCTACAGCAGGTTTCAGACCCTCCCCACCCCAGCTGGATGCAGCAAGTGCTGCAGTGAGAGTTTGGGCAGGGGGTCTGTAGGAAAACAAACAGCATCTAGATGTAAATGACCTGCTGCCACAGCCGATTTGTTGATTCTGTAAGAAAATCTTGGTGCTGTTGCAATGCTTTCCTCACTTGCGTCTGCACTGGATACTCAGCAAATAAGGATTTAGCAAGAAGGCATTGTTAAACTAGGAAACACTCCTCCTTCAGGACAGATTTTTTATACTCACTATTAATAATCTGCCACGACACTCCTGCAGTTCCTCTGAATTAGCACTCAATATAGCCCCCAAAGTGACAATTTACTGCTGACATGGTAGTCTTAGGCTAAGTCGTGGAGCCTGACAAACGGTGGTCAGATCTCTAACCCCCCCCCCCCCCCAAAAAAAACCAAACAAAATAAAAAAATAAAAAACGCCAAGTACTCAAAATTTTAGTATAACAGCTGGTACATCTGAGAAGGAAGGTGGTTTCAGAAGCGGGCACTGTGCACAGCCATACTTAGCGTGTTCCCAAAACTGAGGCTGAGAAAATGTGAAACTGGCATCTGCCTGGTGCTGCAACCCTTGAGAGCATGGCTTTAGGGAACATAAAGATGTTAAAACAAGAGCAGCAGAGATATTCCTCTTTCCAAATGCAGGCCCGAACACACAGAACTGTGGCAGTTGCTTCTTGTGTCTCTAGGCTAACCCTTAGCAAGAAATCATTCCTTGGGGGATGCTGAAAGGGTTGCTTTAGTGGTTTGTTGGGAGGTCATGAGTTTCTTCCTTTGTTTGTTTGTTTGGTTGGTTTTTCTTTCTTTACACCCAACTCAGAGTCCAGCAAAAGCAAAAAAGGAAGATTCCTGCAGATATTTGGCCTTCAGTTGTGTCTTTCTGTGCACCCACGTTGGGGCCCTAGAGAATCCTATATAGCAAAGGTCAAATGATCCCCAGCTGGCAGATTTCACTTAACAAAGGTAGAGCCAAGAGACCTTGTGGAATAGGCTCACCTACCTGGCTTCAATGTTTTAAGGACAATTGCTCCTTATCACTAAGAGAAATAACCTGACGAGGGGCTTAGTGGTTAGAATTGACCTAATGAATTAACTACAAAAGGTGCGTAAGGGTCATATTTCTCTTAGTCATTCTGTGAGGACAATTAGTACAGAGCCTGTTAAAATAAATAAACAAAAATAAAATAAATAAATAAATAAAAAATGAAATGACCTTAAAGGCAAAATTGCTGTCATAGATTTTCATCTGTCTAGTCACAACAGATAAAGAATATAGCAACCAGAATAACTTTTCTTGACATTAATGTTATTTAAATTTGCTTTTCTGAGATCTCTTCTTTATGCAGGACTTTTCAAAATCTAGCGCCATGACCTCTGACTGCAGTATTTACTTTGGCTGCATATAAACTATCACGTATAAATGCCAGGATCTGGATCCTCACTCCCTATTCAGGTCAAGGACCGGGCTGAAAGTTTTCATCCTAATCCACAACATAGCACCCTACCAGCTCTTAGGAGGAAAATTAAGTCTATCCTAGCTGAAAGCAGGACAGCTGTTTTCTGACAGGTCATGGCAAGAAGATTGGTTGGCTTGGGGGAGCTTCTGTACACAGCTTTTAGGCTGCAGCCAAAGAGTTCCTCTAGATCTGGAAGTCTGAAGATGGTTGAGTGCTTCGAAAGCTGCCTGGCAGAGAAGAATCTTGGAGTATTTCTTGATAGTCGGCTGAATATGAGCCAGCAGTGTGCTCAGGTGGCCAAGAAGGTCAACAGCATCCTGGCTTGTGCCAGAAACGGTGTGGCCAGCTCTATACTCAGCTCTGGTGAGGCCACACCTCGAGTACTGTGTTCAGTTTTGGGTCCCTCACTACAAGAAGGACGTGGAGGTGCTCAAGCAAGTCCAGAGAAGGGCTACAAAGCTGGTGAGGGGCCTGGAGAACAAGTCCTATGAGGAGTGGCTGAGGGAGCTGGGCTTGTTCAGCCTGGAGAAGAGAAGGCTCAGGGGCGACCTTATTGCTCTTTACAGATACCTTAAAGAAGGCTGTAGCGAGGTGCGGGTTGGTCTGTTCTCCCACATGCCTGGTGACAGGACGAGGGGGAATGGGCTTAAGTTGCGCCAGGGGAGGTTGAGGTTGGATGTTAGGAAGAAATTCTTTACCGAAAGGGTTGTGAGGTATTGGGATGGGCTGCCCAGGGAAGTGGTGGAGTTACCATCCGTGGAGGTTTTTAGAAGACATTTAGATGTAGAGCTCAGTGATATGGTTTAGCGGAGGGCTGGTTGGTGTTAGGTCAGAGGTTGTACTAGGTGATCTTGGAGGTCTCTTCCAACCTAGATGATTCTGTGATTCAATGCTTTTAATACACAATTACTGCAGGCCCCGACCCGGCAGCTGACAGCACCAAGACGTGCTGGCATCCCTGACAAGTGCACAGGTGAAAAGTAAATCACTCAGCTTTAAGATTGGGTGCTAAATCACAGGTCCCAGTTTTATGATGTTTGCCCTGACAAAGCCATGGCTTTTCCTGAGGTAAACAATCGCCTTTGTTCTCAGGAGGTCACTCACCCAGGGATGGGCTGCATGACCTCCCCGGGTCCGCTCCCATCCCACTGTCTGTGACTTTCGGTGCTGATCTTCCATCGCCTCATATCTTGTTGTTCAGAACAGCAGATTTCTGTTCCCTTCTCTACCTCATTTCAAATTAATTTAATTTCAGTGACCTCCCTTCCTGATATGGTCTTCTAATTGGGTCCTCTCCAGATCAATAGTCTGCTTTCACAAGTGAAATATTTCTATTGAAGGCCCCTCCATTTTGGGTGGCCTAATTATTGCAATTAATTGCTTCAGGCCTAAGTAGCAAGTTTTCAAGCCAATGGCAAATTTTCTCTGCTCCTTCTAAACTGCTGCCTTCACTGCAAACACGCAAGGTTGTCTGTTAGGATCCCAAAGGCCAGAAAATAAAACATTAAAAAGAAATACCTAAATCATAACAGCTGCATAATCTCAGCATAAAGTAATCTTTTCCAGTAGGTTTTTGTTCTTTTTACAATTTCGAGGTTTCATACAGAAGAATATTTTTATTTGTCTTCAACAGAAGTTAGTAAACGTGTCTGGTTTGCAACCTCACTTGTGAAAGCAAATGGGAGGCACTTCCTCCTACCTTTGCATGCACTATGTTCCTCTAAGTCTTTTTTTTTTTTCCCTAATTCCTCAGCTACAATTAAACACGTGCGGATTTGAGAATTCACTGTGTCACTACAGTCAGGTCCCCTGAGCAGCGCCAGTGTCACAATGAGGCGCTTGCACAACCGAGGCTTTTTTTTAAGCAAGGTCACACTTCATGGATTTAATATTACAAAACCACATAATTACATTGGGCTCCAACCTAGAAGGCCGCATGGAAGCCCTGCACAAGTTACACGAGGCTAAATCTGAAGTCTTCTGCACTGACAAATGGTCAGAATACAAAGTGGGGATTGCACGTATGCCCATGGGGGAATATGGCTAAGAAGTACCATCCTCCCCGTTTTGCTGTCTCCAGTGATGTATTACTAGGCAAAACTAAATTGCTCTCACAAGTGCTTTATAAAATCCTTCGCATTCTCCACTCTGTCCATTAACGCATTGTGCCTTGCCTGCATTTTATCTGTGCAAATTTGCAATTGCAATCTGCACAGGGCTGAGCACTGACTGCTGAAAGCACCCAGCTGCTGTGGGACCACTTTATTTTTCTCCATCTCTGTCTGCAGCTCATGCATTATGGCAAAGTTAGAACAGTTAAAAATACACGTTTAGCCTTCCAAAGACAGCCTGCAGAAAATAGCATAGCAGAATACACAGAAACAGGAGCAATGAAGGACCTGGCAGTCACCTACCCGGCATAAACCACGGCTGTGTTACATCAAATTACTTTGGAAAATACTTTAACACGGTCAGTACAAAGGTCCAGTTATTAAAATTAAGATTTATCATTGTATAGAAGCCAAAAGCATACAGACTTCTTAAAACCTAATATCCTGCTTCTCAAAAATGTGGAGGAGAAATCCAGGAAGCATACACTCAGCGATGTTTTTATTCAAAGTGAGCATTATTAGTACCTCACCAAGTGTTTGTTAGAAATTTATCTAGAAGATGTTACTGAGAGAAATCTGCTGTTTAAGACTGGACCATGTGTCTCACAAGCAGCAACTTATGCACACGTGTCAAAGGTTTATTTTAGTCCTGTTGTGATGAGATACCATTGTGCCCTTAAGATGTCACCACTCAAATATAAATGTTTCCAATATTGATATCAATTACCTTACTGAAGGGGCTCACAGCACCAGGATCCAGCCATGCAGTGACAGTGACACGCCATAATTTTTGCCAGGGGAAGGAAAAGGACTCAATGGAAATTGGAGGTCATCAGCACTTCCCATTATTGTGCTTTAAATACGCTCAGCACTCGCTCTCTTGCCATTGTTCTTCGCATTCACCTTTGGAAGCAGGGTCAGTCAGAACTGTTTAAAACAAAGGCAAAAGAAAATTTCAGAATGTGCTTGAGCCATCTGCATGGAAAACACTGCAATTGTAGTTGTATCTTACACAGAAGAAAGAAAAAGTTCTCCCTTTCTTTGTTTACTCATTAATTTTCTTCAAATCATTTCGAGTTTTTTGGGGACCAGGCCAAGCACAGAATACCACTCTTGGTTAAAAATTACTGGGGCAGGTTGGTGGGATAAGGGATTCAGGAAGGAAATCTTAAACACAGGATTCACAGCAGTGCTTCAGCTGCGTGTTACAGCTCTGTTTGTGCCACGTCCATGTGGTGGGGTTCTCTGCCCATGACCCACCTTACAGCTCTGCAGCCCAGCCCCGTTCCCACCTGGCAGCACACCTGCTGCCCATTTCCAGTGGAATCACATCGGGCTATTAAATTAGCAGCAGGCCCTTTCATCTGAGATGTTGATAGAAATTCCTCAGCACATTATAAAAACACTGAGTTAGTCATACAGGCAGAGCAAAATCCCCCAGCTGTGGATGTACCTTTTCTTAAAAATGATAACAGAAGCATCCTGAAGATAGCCTTACCTTGTAGCCCTAATTGCACCTCTGTAGTGACATTGATTCAGCACAGACACCGGCGTTAACCCCATGCCCCCCGCCAAAACCAAACAGCAGAGGACTTTGTTTTATGTATCGCATGCTGATCAGAACTTCACAGAATCACAGAATCACAGAATTTCTAGGTTGGAAGAGACCTCAAGATCATCGAGTCCAACCTCTGACCTAATACTAACAGTCCCCACTAAACCATATCCCTAAGCTCTACATCTAAACGTCTTTTGAAGACTTCCAGGGATGGTGACTCCACCACCTCCCTGGGCAGCCCGTTCCAGTAACTTCCCTCATCCCAGGCTTTCATCGCTAATGCTTTAGTGTCAGCAGGAGAACCAGAGCTCTTCCAACAGAAAATGTCAAATTTGCATCTGTGAAATATAAAATATTAATCTGGTTTCAGCCATAAATTGCATTTTCTTAAAGCCTTGGGAGGGTATCAAACCAAAAGCCCTGACGTTTCACTTTGATTTAGTGAAACAGCAGAATAATTTCCCCGATCACATTATAACCCCTGCTGGAAGGAGCTTAGCTAATGAATTAGTGGCTTTTAGTCAGTGGTAACAAACACGGGGCTAGAAGCACACTTCATCAGGTGACAAATAATGTGTTCAGCAAACTGCAGGAGAAACCTGGTGACTGCTCCGTGCCTTTATGGCTCAGCTCCGGGCATGCAAAAAGTGCAACGAGTGCCCAGTGACTTCACCTTTATGCGAGATGCCAGAGTGACTGCAGCTCTGTGGTTTGTCTGGGGCTGGGCATTAACATCCCCTGAGCTATGTTAACACCCTGATCGTTACCAGATAAACTGATTTAATGTCTCATTCCCCATCAGTAAAGTATCAGTAAAGATCCATAAAATTGTTAGAGCTTGACTTACCAATCTGCTGATGTGTAAAATTAGAAACCGGGGTGTGGAATTCCAAAGCAATCTGATAAAATATGGAACATTTGAATATATCAAAGGCTCATTTTTCCAACAACTATTTAGACTATACTTGACATTAAACATTTCTCACTTTAATTTGCTCTGTTTCTCATAGAAGCTCTTAATATAAAGGAAAAATACCAAACATTAATACCGATTTGAGCATTTTTGACTGAATGCACAAGAACATTTTTTACAATGGCATGTGGTGAGAGCCAAGGATACAGATGGTCAGTTCGCTGTCTGTTGTGATAGGATGCAGGTCTGCAGCACTCAACTCATATCACTGGAGATTTGCCAGGTTACACACATTCTCCTAAATTTAATGGCACTGAAAGTTGGAGGGCTTTCTCCTTGTAGTCTCTCCAACTGGCATTAATGTCTCTGAAAATTACTGGGTAGTGCTCCTCTACTGTTCTCCACACACTGTGTTTTTGTTGAGCCTTTTATTCAGTCTTATTATGGGATCAAAGCCACTGCTGAGATCATAGCTTTCAAATGTGACTTGGATTTTTTTCAGTATAAACAGTGTTTAAGTGACTATAATGCTCATGAGCAGTACCACATTGGCCACTCTGAAGTCTGTGCTCTGTAAGCGATGTTGTTTCTCCATATTTTCTTTAATCCTCAAACCTAACAGAGAGATTTCCATTTCAACTCCACTATCATCCTGCTGGTTAAACCCAGCGGCATGATGTGAAGAAATAAACACAAACAGTTTTTATACGTATACACGAGGAAATGAGCACACATTTGTCAAAACAGAATGACTAATCGAGTAAAAAGTTCATTTTCGTAGAAGTTCTGGGAACGCACAGTGATGCAGAAAGGAACAAAGAAGGAATTATTCCTAATCAGAACCAAGAAATGAGATTACTCTTAGATGGAGCAATGGGAAGGAAACTGCCATGGACCAGTCGGAGAAGTGCTGAGAGAACAAACTGTTCGTTAGCACATAGAGTGATGTATATCTGAATTTCTCAAAGAAAATTATGTTTTTATTCCATATTTATCTAATGCTCAGAGTAAAAATGTAGCTCCAGTTTATTTTTTACACTGCATAAGTAGTACCTGTGATAACTACACAGTGCCTCCCGGAGAAAAATCCCAAGTGTGAGATGAGTTTAGAAGGTCCTGATGAGAAACCTGCCTTTATTCAGGGTCTGCATCAGGACTGAATCACCTGGTGTTACAGGGAACACTGTAAGAACAGTAAAACTAGGGACGTGTCAATTGTCACCATGCCATTTCATAGGCGTGAGCTGAAAAATGGGTAGTAAACCTACTAACGTAAGTATAGATTAGATTGTTTTCCTTTGAGTATATCTTAAAAAAAATAAGTTCAAAATTCAGTATATGAATATAAGTTTCCACATATAAATCAAACTGATCTTTGAAATGTCTCCCTGCAACAAAACTGTATCTTTCTTCTTACCAGAGAATTAAGGATAAAGTTTACTTCTTTTCAAGTGAAAATCACCAGCTGATCTGGGGAGCCTTTCAATGAGGAATGTTTAGTTGGGTGCTTCATCTTTGTTCTGAGAGATTTCAGAAACTTTGGAAAAGAAACAAAGAATGAGGGCAGGATTTTTGTCTGCTCAGCACCGTCTGTTCAGGACGACTGTCGGGCTGTGCCTCCACCAGTGCTTTGCTCATTTTGCCTTCTGACCGTACAGGTGCTGGGACCTTCCATATAGGCACCCCCTGCTCCTGGTGAGAGAGGACAGCCTGGAAATGCTCCCTGCCCAGAGAACAACAGTCACAAACCTGAGGAGAAAAGGGAGGATAGAGTGAGCAAGACTGTGAAAAATGCATTTCCTCTCAGCTCCTACCTCTGCTGGATCTTTTTGAATACATCACCTGCAAGAAGACAGTTTGTGATGCAGTGGTAAGGAATCCGGGGTAAGAATTCACTCATTTGTCCCCACCTTACTTAAAACACTAACTGAGCCGTTGTTCCCTTATTGTGCAAACATTTAATGCCTTGTTTAAACATTGAGCAACTAAACAATTCAAAAATGATTGTTCTGTTGCAATGCTTATTTAACAGTGACATACACTGATTCTTTAATAAAACAGAATCAGAAACGCCTGTGTTTCGAGGTGATTTTTATTGCTGTCAGCTATGAGGTAAACGTTAACCTCAAACAAAATAAAACCCTGTGTGTAAGGCGAGGGGTCATGACTTAGCATCCATCCAGATCTGCCAGGAGGAATTACATACGAGCAGTGCTTTTAGAAGCTTCGTTTTAGACTCCATCTTTCAGGAGATCTGGGGTGCTGTCTCCACATCTCTGGAGAGGCAGGAAGGCCACTGAGAGCTGCACAGAGGACAGAAAGAGCCACCAAGCATCCCTGGCTCTGCCCAGCCTTTCGGCTGAGTTCCTCCCAGTGGTGACCACCAGGAGCACAGAGTACTCAGTCACCTTTGTTTTTCTATCAGCAACACTTCGGGCTTTAAATGGCTGCTTTAATTTCCATGTATTTTTGAACAGGCCTGAACATGTGCCCAAGATCCGTTTTGTTTTTAGAACTGTGATTAAGAAGCATTGTTCATTGTTTATGCTCACACTCGTCTCTGTAGTGACTGTATCTCATGGGGCATGTGTTTGCTGGGGCCAGTCTATAAACCGAGATTGCTCTGAAGTGTGTTAATGCCATGCAGAATCAAAAGAAGATCTAAACAGATTAGCAAAATGTTTTGTACACACTTTTAATGTTAGAAGAATAGCAGTAACAAGCTGCAATCATTTACTCTCCCTTGTTGTAACACACAGCCTTTCACTTTTCTTGGGTTTAGGGTCATTTCATATTTATTCCCATTTTCTAGCACAAGATCATTTCTGATTCCATTATTTATGTCTCAGATCAAGCCATCTGCTGTAAGCTCCTCTCCTTTCTCAAGCCCAGCAACCCGTAGGCAATGTCTGTGCCAGGAAATACCCCGCAAACCTTTCCTGCTGACAGGCCGGGCAGCTTACCCCTCTCCCAGGGCAGCCTCTGCAGATGCTGGCAGTGCAAGGCGTGTGGCATTGGTCTGCACACTTGATCCTTATAAAGGTTAAGAAATTAAAAGTAGCTGTAGAAGTGGTACATTGTAGCTTTGGGACTATTCCCCAGCACAGATGAGTTTAGATGTGGCCCTATTATGAGATACACCCTCAAGAAAATCCCAAAGAATCAGTGATGGTATTGCCATAGCCAGTTGCAATAGTTAAGGATGCAGCCCAATGATAAGCAATTTCATGCTGCATTCCCCAGATACACAAGATACCACCATTAAATTAAGAGGAAAATGGATCCAAATTGTATGCACTTTCAGTTGCTAGAATTGATGCTAGCACATTTATACTGCTACCACTGTTCGTATTTTGGAAAAAAAATGTTGCTAACCTGAGGGAACGAAAAACAAATAGTGGGTAAAATCCACTGGCACAGTAAGATCCTATAGTGTGCTTGAGAATTTCTGTGTTCTTCTCTTTCACTAGGCTCACAAAGTTTTTCCGTATTTAAATGTTTGATGGGCTGTCAGAGGTATTGATCTGATACACTGAAGCTACAGCAGATTGCAAGAAATGCCACATGGCTTCAAACATCTGGGGAGAAGAGAGTGCAGTGGGAGATTAAAGGTGATTTACACCTCCAGACATAGCCTCTGAACTAGAGGAGCCTCTGAGCAACAAGTCCTGTTGGATAATTCACCGGAGAAGTTTGCCAGCAGCACAGGAGCAGTTAAAGGTAAAACTCTGAAGCTTACTCATGACTCTGAATTTTAGAGGGTATTGGCACACATTTTAAAGGCAATACACAAAATACACAAAACAATGCAAGCAGATGGCATCAATCAATTTGCATATTTTGGCTAGGAGGGATTATGGATTATTAGACCTTGACTGACACAGATATCAAAACCCCTTACACTTCAAGCGTTATTCCCCTGTACTGACCCAAACAACTTGCACTGAAGTAATGAGCAGCTTTCAAGTTTTTACACTTTCCTTCATATCCCAGCTCCAACAGTTCTGGTCAAAAACAATCCCATAAATTTAATGGGAGAACAAGTCAGAGTCCTTGAAGCCAATAAATATTTGCTGTGACATGAATTACCTTCAACCGCCGTCTCTCATCTTGATTTTTTTTTTTATTTAGTTCCCTATGGAACTATTACAGCTACACTGCAAACCTCCTCCTAGTCCAATCAACACAGGTTTTTAGAAGACTTTTTTACTATATGCTCACTCAAAGTATAGAAGGTGTCACTTTGGCTTTAACATTGCCTCCCTTTTTGGAAAAATACAACACACATATCAAGAATGTTAAGCACTAACATCTGCAGGAAAACACAGTCTGAGCTGAGTCACAAATACACAAACCATTGCAAAAAGTCTGCTACCTGGATGTGCAAAAATGGAAACTGTTGTTCGGGACACAATGTATATGTTCATCTTTTTAAAAAAATCTTATCTATGATCAGAAAGACCTACAAATAGTTAGAAGCCTTTAAAACCAAATTTCCCTGATAAAAATGAGCCATACTAAAAATGACATACATTTTTTTAAATCTGAGCTTAACCATAGGCAAGGTCAACCCAGAAATGCATAAAATGATCAACTATTAAAAGCTTTATTTATCCAGGGGAAAAGGAAAAAAAAAAAAAAAAAAAAAGACAAAAGAAAAAAAAAAGACATTACACAGAAAATAAGCTCTTGTGATTAATTATTGAGAGTAAAAATCGAGATGTAGTTATTGGTGGCATAAAAAAAAATGCTATGCATAATTCCCTTAAAATTAAATAAGAGGGCCATAAAGAGCTTGTTTTTAACTACAGCAAGACACTGAAGTTAGAACTAGAAAAGTTGCAAAACAAAATAAACTGAATTTTGTCCAAATTCAGTGTATTACATTACAGTCATCTGTTAGTGATTATGAGCCAGTGAGGTCTGTTGTAAAATGCTTACAAAGGATATAGAAATAGTCTTCAAATATGAAACAAATTAGGAATAACTGGCCTCTAAACAAGTATTTGATGTATGAAAAAGATGGTAAGAAAACGAAAACCTCAGAATGCTTTTTAGACCAGCTGTCCAAAACAACCCTCGCTTCCATTTCTGAAGGGCCCAAATCAGACGTGACATAAGAGTGATGTAAACTGCTGCACAGCGTTGATGCTGGGAAACCTGCCATAATGTACCATTCGTTACAGAAGAGAGAGCGAGAGGGGGGTTATTAACATGTAACTTACACCACCACCCTCCTCTCTAACATGGACCAAGTGAATCAGGACTGAGAGGTATGAAGATACTATTGAGTAACAACTGCCTGTGCCACATTCCAGCTAACTCGAGTACGTGTACCCCTTCGAGCTGGATCACTAGCTTCTGTTCTCTCTGTTCAGACATTGCACACTCCATTTTTACTGTCACCAAAAAGCCTGAAGCAAATGAGCAGAGCAGGGCTTGAGGCCTGGACTCTTACAGGATGCACTTTCTGCCTTTAAGGACCCCAGAATTTCCCTTACAGTAAGGACTTAAAATAAATACACTTTCAAAATTTTGTGAAAGCAGCAAATGCCTGTGTTTATACATATTTAGGAGCATGTCCCCAACCCTGACCTAGACCTACTCAGCATCTGAGCTTTTATTTTTCCAAGTAAAAATGTTTTTAAATGTGGAGTCATGTTAGATCAACAGCAAATTATAGCAACATAATCTCTACTGGCAATTTAGGAAATTGCCATGGAAATTCCTTTTCGTCCCTGCTCTGCGATACAGGTTTTCTGCCCATATTGACCCCAGATCTCAGTTACTCACAGTCTTTGTTGTGCTCTGGAGGAAGGAAACAACCATATCACTGACAGGGATGCTGACAGAGAGAGCAGGAAAAGGAGGAGAACATATGAGGGAAAAGGAAGCACACTAGAAAGTTAAGGATGGGGTCAAAGCCTCAAGGCTCAGCACTGAGACATCAGGGATTTGCAGGTTTTCCAGAGTTAGTGACAAAGGGCCAGATCTACAAAAGGTATTTTAAACTTTTACCTCTTCTTTAGGACTCTGAACTTCCACAAAATCCAATTGTGAATGTGAAGCCTCTGCACAGGGTGGTTCTAACTTCTTCCCTTGAATGGGAACAGCTGCGGCACATGAGCATACTAATGCTGTGTGCTGGAAAAGCAGGCACCTAGCAGTCCTAACCTCCTCCCTGCCCACCCTGTTATGCCTCTTGCACCACAGCATTTCTCACCAGATACCCCTGCTTCACTCCGTGGCTTGCCAAGGCCTTTCAGCAGCCTGCAGTCCCTTTGCCCAAGTGATTTCTCCACTGCTTGTCCTACCTTGGGAGCGCTGCTGTGAGGAACGAAGTGTGTGAAGCGAAGTTGGCAGCATCAGGAAGCAATTGGCACTGCTCAGGCTCCCAGTGTCAGCTAAGGAGAATGATGCTTTGTATTTCATTTTAAAAGTAACATCTGAGTTGTCATCGCAGTGAAGATAAATGAGGAGAGGCTGGAATGTGGTGGTTTCCTCTCGCTAAACAGAGAATATTGGAGACAAACATGGCAAGTGTCCGCGTAAGGAAATAATTTGCCTGTTCCCTCGGCAAATTTCTATAAACATTTCCCCACCCAAAATGTATGGAAAATGCCACTTTTCTCTGAAAAGTGGCCGTATCACACCAGATATGACATTAAGCAGTGCGTTGTGAAACCAGGAGAGGTGGCAAGTTAACCAGAAGTCAACCTTTCGATATGGGATACAATTCCGGTGTGGATGAGAAATCTGCAGGACACCAAGCACACAAAATACCTCTCACACCTCAGGAAACCCCAGAGTTGTTAGCGGTGGGAAGCTGGGACAGTATTCCTGGCAAGTGTCACCTCATCTTCCTTCTTTCTCTGGGTAGTCACTGCCAAAGAATACTGGGCTGGGTGAACTGGGCTGAGCCTGCCAGGATGGCGATGTGTGTAACTGCTTCTTGTGTGTCATTCCCAAAACTTTTCAGCTGTGCCTCGGAGGGATGCCTTCAGGGTGTCTCTGAGAGAGCAGGTTTAGTTTTGGGGGGGTTGTAGAGTAAAAACGGTGAAGAGACAACAGCTTCTTGTAGCGCAATGGTCTATATTGGCTCTGCTATCTGTCATTAGAAGTGTTTCACGCATGGTACTTGAGAAGGGGGATGTCCCCCCGCCTTGAGGGGACATTCGGGCTGGGGGAACCTGAGGGGAAGCCCCGGGGGGCTGAGGGGAGCCCTACGACCCCCCGGCTGCCCTCAGCCCCCTCAGCCCTGCAGCAGGTGGGAGGGCTGAGGCGAAGGGGAGTCGCCGCCGAGCCAGGACCTTCCCCAGCGCTTCCCGGGCGGGGAATGGAGGGCGGGAGGCGGCGGCCCGGGCCCCGCTATTAGTACCGGCCCCTCCGGGAGCCCGCCTCAGTGCTCAGCCGCCGCCTGCCGGCACCATGCAGGGGCTCGGCGCCTCTCTGCCCGTCCTCCTCCTCCTTCTTCTCCTCAGCGCCCAGCTCCCGCCGCCGGCTGTGGCGGACCAGCTGCTCTGGGCGCCGGGTGTGGAGCAGGCGCTGGACCCCAGCAGCCGCCTGGCCGTGGGGGCGGCTCGGGTGGCGCTGCACAAATACAACTTCCAGGCGGCGTCCCCCAGCGGGCTGCGGGCTCTGGGGCAGGTCCGCAAGGCCACCATGAAGGTACCGGCACCCCGCGGGGCGGTGGAAGGAGCGGGGGGGTGAGGGATGGCTGCGGCTCCTGAGGAGAGCGGGGCGGGCAGGCGGGAGGCGCCCTGCAGCGGGGCGCTTGGAGGGCTGCGAGGGCAGAAAGCGGCGCTGGGAAACGAAAAATTAAATAACGTTAGTAATTATAATAGAACGGGGCGGTGGGCAGCAGCCGAGGCGCTCTCCCGCCTCCCCTTCCCCTCAGGGGGCTCGGCGCGGCCACATCCCCTCAGGCGCTGCTGCTCCCCTCAGGGCACCTGGTTCCCCCAGCAGGGAGGGAGGAGCTGCCCCGAAAGGTCATTAATTAGCTGCCTAATGATTTAACTATCCCCTAAATGCTAGTTGTGATAGGTCTGAGTGGCCCAAGCTGGGACCCAAAGCATCACAGCGCAGATGGGAGAGGGGAAACTGAGGCATGGGGTTTGTGCCCGAGGCAGAGAGAGTAAAGTCAACGTTTCCACCTTTTTTATCCTTCATGGTTTTCAGCACAACTCTGACAAAATACGAACTGCTGCATAACGGTTCAGATTTTGTGTATTACCTTGTGTAAGACGAGGCTGAATGATAGCATTAGTCGTCCTATCTGGCTGGGAATGCCAGTGAGGTGCCCTGGTATAGATTTACCTGAAACCATAGCCTGTAAGGAGCTTACTGTGCCTTATCGTCATTCCCAAATGCTTTGGTAAACAGACAGCTTAGCAGATGCTGAAGATGGATGTGCTGGTGTGACATCTCATTCTCCCTCTGAGCTTGCTGCAGAAATCAGTGACAGAGCTTGACTACAATATTTGACACTTCTCTTGAAATGTACCGGTGGCCCTTTTGTATTTACTGGGCACTTTACAAGGTACCGTGCATACATGCATGCATACATATTTACATTTACAGGTGCTTGTGCCTCTTTTAAGCACTGACTAGCACTGCCTCTGGGAGCAGTGTGTGCTGCTGGAGCACTGCACTTCTCTCCTAAGCCGACAGGTATCAGGAGGTGGTTGGTGCAGATCCTCTTTCCAACCTCAGTGTAACTGGGTATTTGTGAGGTACTTTCAGCTGGAATGAGGGAAAAGGAGTTTCTCCACCCAGTATTGTCCACCTGCCTTTTAATACAGGAAAGAAGAAATTGGTTCGTTATGGAGAAATGAAATGCCTCATTATTTCCTCACAGCACTTGATGCTGTAGGAGCTTGCTGTAACCAATTTAAGCAGCTTACTTCCCTTTTTTCTCTTCATACGCTGTAAAAACAAGAGGAGAAACATTGCAGACACGGTCACTTCCCTGTTTCCTGTCCTCCACTGTAAAAAATGAAAAGAATTTCCTGGAAGGAATGTGCTATCTAATGTGAATATAAGAGACAGAGATATTGTTTGTTTTTAAGAAGGCTAGTTACCTGTTTGCTAATGTATTATTGGATCTAGCAGAAAGAGGATAATTTTATTATTAAGTGTAATCATCAGCGTTGCATTTAAAAACAAACATTGTTAGCCCACTGACCAGTGCAAACGTGTTAATTGGAAACAGGAGTGGAGACAGTGTCCAGTACAGTAACTCTTGCTAGATGTGAAGGATTTTTCAAGTTCAGGTAAAAGGAAACTTCAGTGCTTTCCTCTTCTGGCAAAAAGCAGCAGGCATGTGCCAAGCATATGATGGTTCCTACCTTGCCATTGGCTGTATTTTTCTTTCTGTCCCTTCTCATCAATGTGAGGGTATTTTAATTAAACGAGTATCTTTCAGAAAACAGCAGCATGCATCTCAAGGAATTGTTTACAGTTGTGCTTTAAAATAGATTATTTGAGAAGAGAAGCCTTAGCGTGTGCCAGCTGAAGATCCTAGAACTGAAGAGAAACTTACAGAAACTGGCTTCCAAAACCAGTCTCCTATGCCTCTGGAAAGTGTAACTGTGGTTAGGTCGGTGAATCAGCAGGTCAGGTGCAGAGGTAATGCCAGGTGATCCCTTGACTAAACTGCAAGCTGCTTCAATTGGGATACAAATACTAATCTATGGACAGAAATCTGTCTTCACAAGCTCATCCTGACACAAAAGAGTGTAATGTCAGGACTGTGGTCCTAGGTATTAGAAGTCAGTTAAAAGGTTTCTGTGAATTTCCAGCTGTCAGGACCCCAGGTTAGGGTGGGGAAGGTGAGATCAGTGGCAGGGTAGGTAGGTTGTCTAGGAAAAGCTAGATACTGAGGGGCAGAGAAAGTGGCAATCCTTGTTGGCTTTTCCCACCCCACTAGCCAGGAGAGAAGCCACCTGAGCCGTCTTACGGAACAGTGGAAGGTTGCAAGGTGGGGACCCCCCCCAGGACCCTGTGGCAGTGTGTGGGGTCGGGTCAGCCCTCTGATCCCAGTGAGGGAACACAGAGGAGGTGGGAACGTGCTGCAAGGGGTGAGAGGGATCGCCCCTTCCAGTGCCAGCAGAGGGCTAGAGCAGCGTAAACTCATTGTCAAACTGCCTCTGTCAGGACCTGGAATGAAACTGCTGTTAAACAGCTGCTCTGGCCTTCACCGCACTAGAAATCTGTGATGAAAGTTGCATTAATTTTGAGCCTGGTAATAAAACAATCCCGTGACCCAGCTGTTCAGTGGAAAAATGAATTACTCACTTGTGTTCCGTTTCTTTTGGACACTTTTATCTTTGGTTACTTTCAGCCTGCCATCATTGTGTCATCTACAATATCCCTCAGCACTTATTTAATTCACAGTATGCAACGGTTTACAGCAGTGCACTGTGGGGTAATAGTGAAAGTAATTGTGGAAGTGCTTTTTTTCTTTCTTAGAAACTAGGAATACATTTGTAAAAAATAAAACTATTTCATGCCAAAGGTAAGATCTTCCCAGTGAGAGATCAGAAGTCCTCTGGTATGCACATCCTTTGTATTTCAGCTGTGTAGTGCCACTTGAAAGCTTTCTAGGTGAGCAGTGCTGCTGTGGTGGTGGTGTTGAAGACAAACAGAATACCAACTCCAAAACCACATGAGCACAGAATTGTGTGTTCTTTTCTAAAGTAAGTGTTTAACAAGCCATTAATCATGAAGAGTTTTTCTTCTCTTCTGCTGAGAAGAATCAGACTGGGTAAGAAGTTCCACTGTGTCTTTTCTTTACTAGCATGTGATACCAAACAAGTGAAATAAAACTCCTGAGATATTCTGTCAGAATATGGTAACTGTTGTCAAAGTTATCAGAGCTACAAAAATGATTTTTTTTTCTTTAGCAGACAAGGCAGGTGAAACCAGTGCAAGGAAAGTAATTTTGGAAGAAAAGTTGAACACTTTTTTTTTTTTTTTTTTCAATGACTGAATATG